TGTGGTTTAGGGTGAACGCAAAATTTGGTGAACGCGCACCGGGTGAGAGTAGCCACAAGACTCGCCTGCACTATTCTAGAGGTGGCCATTAGATCTGTATCCCCAACAAAGTTACTGGAAGTGATAGAGAGAAAATGAGACAAAAACACATTCCTCTGCAATCGGAAGGACTACTGTAACGAGCGACCACAACAACCAACACAACTATCTATAGAGAGGAGATTGAACCCTAATCCTGACCCAACCCCTCCATTCTCATCATCAAGGGATCAATTCTTACCGAAAGTACGGACTAGCAGAGGACAAAATACTTTTCTGAACAGGAATCTTCTTGTCCCCAAATAATACTGTGGCATCACATAGGTGTGCAGAGTGTCTTGTTTCATTCAAATTCTTCAGCAACTTTGAAGCATGTTCATGATAAAAATACTTCTTATGCGGCTCATCGGCCAGTGGATCCTCGGCCATGGTTTCCCCCTGCCTTGTTATGAAAATAAGTATTTCCAATTTCCAGATTTTCATCTTCCGCCAAAGTATTTGTCTATGGGGAAAAAAATTATTAAGCCCAGGCCTAGGTCATAATTCTAAAGTCCTTTATGATGTAACTGTAATATCAGATCTCGCTCAAAATTATTAGCATTAATTTGACTTGAATCTCTCGCCAATCTCATGGTGTTGAGCAACATCACAAACTAAGATCGGCTGTCTCCACTAAGGAAAGGAAATTGGAGTTTTGATTTTAGATCTGTGAAATCAGAGAACCAATTTAAGTCAGCACTGTTGAGTTCATATTTTGCGGTAACCTAGATAATAATTAATATCATCATCATCCAGTGCCAGATCTGCGACAGACATCGGCGATCATGGTTCTCCATTCATTCCTTTGCTCGGATGCTCCAAAAAAAAAAAAGCTACGTTTCTCTGATCTTTCTCTGTTAGCCATTTGTTTAGGTTCTCTAAGTAAGTTGTTCTGGGCCTCAATTTTGCCAGTGAGAGCTAGATCTAGATGTTCAAGACCCTTGTGTCTATTTATGCGTCCCAAAAACTGCATTTGTCGTTTCCTGATTGTTTTTGACTTTGAACGTCCCACGTGGGCTTCATCAAGCACTACCTTGGTTTCTTTTCCTTCCACGTACCGTCTTACTCTTAGCAGTCTCCTAATAATTAATATAATGTATCTTTTATTGAGTGCCGTGTGCATAATATGACATTAGTTTGATATTTATGATTGTGCGTGTGTGTGTGTGCGCGCGCGTGTGTGTGTATGTGTGTGTGTGTGTGTCTGTCTGTGTGTGTGTGTGTGTGTGTGTGTGTGTGTGTGTGTGTGTGTGTGTGTGTGTGTGTGTGTGTGTGTGTACGCGCGCGCGCGCGCGTAGCGAACACGTGAGTGTGCCAATCAACATTGCAATCATTAATATTATCACTGCTTCAAAGATGGTTTTGTTCTTAGACTAATGAACTTTACGCTTTATTCATTTCAATTTAGAATCACTAGCATAGCTCCGCTCTCTATAAAAACTTCACTTCGAAGCGTTTCCGCCAAGAGCGCTCAAATTGCTATGCAAGTGGCTATTCTCCGGTCAATTATAATATATCCTCACTCTGAGTAGAAGAAACACGCTTCATTCTGGGTTGAAGAATGACACGCTTCATACCGGCTATTGTTCATCATCGTGACTTGCACAGTGAAGATACATTATGTAAATGAATGCGACTGCCTATCATATGTGCAGCAGTTATAAATTAGAGTTATCCAATTAAATGCATCTCACCTTAGTCACCATAATTCAAAACTTTTAGCTTTAAAATATTTTCTGTCGACCCTGCAGCGAAGAAAATAAATGAATAAATAAATCAATAAATAAATAAATACATTTAAAAAATTAATATATAAATAACGCGAAGCGGATAAAGCAGACTACCCAATCTGGGAAAACATCAATGCAAGCCGGAACCATAGACATTAAACGCCTATCATATCCTAGATCTTTACTCTGATGTACTTCCGGTTGATAATAGTGTGCTTCGTTGCTAAATCAAAGGTAACGGGGAATGTTCTGCTAATACTCAGCTACAAATACAAAGAGACTGAGTTTTGCCTTTCATTAAAAGGCCCATGGTGGTCACACAGTGCCCATTGTTTTTATAAATATAGAGAGCAAAGAGTTGCAATCGTGTTAGTGCGCAGTCTAGGGTATTAACAATTCAAGTCTATGGCCTGAACCATTTTAAATAATTAATTTTAACTCAGAGATAAAAAGCATGTGGAGGAAATTGTCATGGAATATTGCACAATCTAATTTCTACTGAAACGCGTACATTATTACTTTGCACGGTGCCTTTCAATTTTAATAAATTCTTAACTGAAACCAAGCATCCCTTTCTTTAGACCCCTGAGATTATTAGGCACGATTAATAATAGGGGCTCTCGTGGCCTAGAGGTTAAGGTGTTGGCCTCTCATTCAAAAGGTCCCGGGTTCGAATCCAGGTAGTGACCGAAAAATTTCCTTCTCTAAAATTGTCTCCTTTAACCTTCTTTCCTGCTCTCTAGCAATGTTCTATTGTCTGCTTTCATTTCCACTTTCTGCCCCTCACCTCCTTTGCCCCCTCCTCTTGGCTCCTGACTCTTTCTGCAGCCTTTCTACTGCTACTCCTTGGCTCCTTCTTACTGCTGTCTTTCAGCCACACCCCTGATCTTCTAGTAGGAAAGATCTACACCTAGCCTTCTCGGACAAGGGCGAAAAATCTCGGAGGGCCCGTGTGCAAGTTGCGCACGTTAAAGATCCCTTGGTGGTCTAAAAATCGATAAGAGTAGGCTTCGGCCGCCACCCGGGCAAAATTCAAAATTTCCTACCAACTGAAAATAATATTAGATGTGTTCCGCGCGCTCATATGACCTTCTGCAGTTGCGAGCGCCGTAAAACACTTTACAAAAACAAACAAACAAAAACATTAATAATAGGCCTACCCTCTCTCTCTCTCTCTCTCTCTCTCTCTCTCTCTCTCTCTCTCTCTCTCTCTTTCTCTCTCTCTCTCTCTCTGCTTACCAGCTTCCGGTGTTGTTGTTTTTTGTTTTTTTGTGGGGGTTTTACGCAGACTTTTTCCGGGGTTTTTTTCCTTTCAAAAAGGATTTTTATAACGTCACTCATTTTGTAGACTAAAGCTACCTATAGTTTGGTCAAAGATTCGTGGTGTAACGTATTGTCAAATATCTCCTTAACTATTGAACATAGATTCTCCAACGTTTGCACAATGACATCAATTTGTCTTAAGTGATGAACATTTTTCAAAACATCTGTACACTGTATTCTAGAAAATTCCTTAAGATACAAATAAAAAATCAAAGTCGATGGTTTCTACATTTTTAAAAAGTTTACAGCTCGGGCAATATATTCGCTTTTAAAAGCAAGTCTGTCATTGTTTTCTAATCTAGACTTTATGCTTATTGAACACATATCAGAACCTTAAGTGCAAAAATGCCAAAAAATTAATTTTTTGTAACAAGGTTTGCCACTAAAATGTGTCATTGGTGAGCTATGATATAGATCTAGGCCTTCTATACGTGTACAACATGTGTGTGAAAAGCGGGAAGTGCTGTGAACAATCCCATTTTCCGCGTGAAGGAGATTTATAGTATTTTATATAAACATTTGTGAAGTAAAGTTTTTTAATCTAGCCTCAATTATTGTGGGGAAAATATGAATCAGTTACACAAATTTATACAAACTGCTGTACAAAGTATGAGTTACGGCAGCGCTGCACCCGTTTAAGAGATATTTGAAGATAAGTTGCGCCACGAAGTTTTGACCGCACAATAATGAATTACTCACATATCAATGTATATCAATTAATCACCCGACCCCAGTAAATCTAGCTGCCCCGAGTACGCTGATGAGAAAATCGAGGGAACAAATAACGCATAAGAAAAAAATTATCAGGCAGGAAGATGCATTTGGGAGCGTCAAGCTTCAACGAGGACAAAAGAAGACCCCTCCCCCACCCTCCCCTTAAAAAGAACCCCACCGTCACGAAACGTTCGCGTGTGCTCGTCGTACTTCTTCTTCTTCTTCTTCTTCTTCTTCTTATTATTATTATTATTATTATTATTATTATTATTATTATTATTATTATTATTATTATTATTATTATTAGCGTGTGCGTGTGCGTGTGTGTGTGTGTGTGTGTGTGTGTGTGTGTGTGTGTGTGTGTGTGTGTGTGTGTGTGTGTGTGTGTGTGTGTGTGTGTGTGTGTGTGTTCTTTCTTCTCTGCGGTTTTCCGACCTAAATTACAAAACAAAACGAAATCTTAGTGACAGAGCACGTCACTAGACTAACACTCTCACATTTTCACGTAAGCATAAGTTACGTATAAAATACACTCTTTGCTTTTCTTTTGTATAACGTTTTAAATTACTGTGTAATTAAGTTTTCATAAATTCAATTCTGCACCATTTCAATCCTGAAGAAAAATAAGCAACAACAAAAACATTATAATCTGAAGTTTCTTGCTTAACTTTTTAACCTGAGGTCTTTCCCCTGTCCATAATTTCGAGAAGCTCGTTTCGCACCATGTCTCTTTCCTGGTTTTCCAGGATCAAACGCAAGGCTCTCGAAAAAGGGACAAAACTCTACAATGCAAAACCTTTACTAAAACCAAACCAAGTTGCCTTCCTTAACTAGGCGCGTAAAACATAACATTTGGCATTTGGGCCACAACCCGACCCACTAGGACAGTCAGTGTGGTCTTCGTTAATCTTTTTTTTTTTCTTTCTTACAGTAATAAATCAATATACTAGTTGTCATAGATTACACACTTTGACAGTGAGAACTAAGTAGGCAGTGATCTTTCAAAATACATGTATACGAAAATCCTAAGTTGAGCGAGATAGATAAGGTTATTGTGTCCTTTCTCCTTCACTGCACGGTTTATTTTTAGAGATTCTCAAGACCTGAAGAGGAGTCGTTATCGGGGATCACAACATCAATAATCCGAGATACGCAGATGATACAGTCCTGTTTGCTAGACGGAACAAAGACCTCTCTATAATTGTAAAAGTAGTAAAAGAGAATGGCGGTGAGGCAGACCTCTAAATGCTACGAACACAAAAGCAACAGTCATGTCAAAATCAACTGACAAAACAAATGTACATTATCATAGATAGGGAGATAATCAAACAAAAGCATGAATTCTAATATCCCCAGACAACAATCACAGTCGGTGGCAGAGGTGAAAAAGAAATACATCCGGTATATAATATGATTTAAGCAAATGGAAACACAAGATTCAGCCAAATGCTCAAACTATTTACACCAAATCATTTAGATCAGGTCTCTATAATTGCACATCTTAGAGGAAGAAATTGGCGGGGAGCTAAATCTTTCCCATTTTCATAAATTGCACTGAGACCTTGCTTGACTTAAGCAATTTTAAAGAAATAGGAAAACGAAATACACGTGTATCTCTGTATTTGAGATTCGGTGCTACCGCAGAATGGCCAGATTTTGCTGAAAAGCAAAATAGACAAACAATGAGGTGGGTCCGATTCTCCCCGCAAAACAAACCCTACTAAATCAAAAGACAGGAAGAAAAATACAGTACTTTGGTCTGGTCATATAAAACTCCGCCATACAATTACAGAGGAATTACTCGAAGGAAAGATGTGGAGTTCATGGGCTAACGGTGAACAGCGAACAATTTATAAACCGGGAAGGTCAACGTTTCTCCTCCCGCTCTCTCCCCGAAGTGTTAGGCTAGGCCGAAAACAATATCAGCCCTGCGCATACGGTCTCTGGCCCGTGTGCCTGGTGTTGGCAGCTTGAAGGCGTTTGAAGGATGCAAAAGCATAACATAACTACTTCACCTGCCATTCCGT